TAATAACTATTGAATCAGGAGGCTGGAGATTTCAATCAGCTCCGTTTATTATTGTGGATGATCAGAAAGCTAACATAATAGGACGCAACTTACTACCACAAATAGGTGTCAAGTTGATCCAAGAAAAACGAAAACAAAATGTGTTAAGCGTACAGGAATAATCAGATCCAGAAATTAAACAATGGGTCAAAAATAATTTTCGACAACTGTCCATACGTATAGGAAAATCGAAAAATCATACGATGAGAATTCAATTCAATCACGATTTCATTTCAATACAACAAAAAGGTCGACGTATTCCTGTCCACCTACAGGAACGAGTTGAAGGGGAATTCAACAAACTGATGGATCAAAACCACGTTATCAACTTAGATGAATGTTCGGATCGACAATTTATTAGCCCAATTGTCATAACAGTGAAAAAGGATCAAACAGTTAAACTGGCGTCAGACTCTCAGAATATCAACAAATTCATTCACAAAAACAATAATCAAATGCCCAACATCGATTTACTTTTGGATAATACTGCCGAGGTGGTCAAATCAGACAAATCCAAACAAACACAATTTCCTCTGGATAAAACGACCAGAGAACAATGCAATTTTAGTCTTATTGGTGGTAACGCCACTGGGACCTATCAGTTTCAAACAGGATTTTATGGCCTCACGGATATGCCGGCCGAAATCCAAAAAGCGATTGATCTAACCCTTACGAATTGTGAGAACACCTAAGCTTATTTGGACGATAAATTAATGGTAATAAAAGGATCGTTGGAACTACACAAATAAAAGTTACAATCAGTTCTGAAAAAACTAGAAAAGGAAAATCTTGCAGTATCATTGGACAAATGTAAGTTCGCATGCAAACAATTTGAGTGGTTAGGATTCAACATTAAAAGCGAGGGAATAAAACCCCTCATAAGAAAGACTGAGTCTATCGAAAAACTATCACCAACAAAAACTTTTGATCAACTAAAAATATTATGGGCTCCTTACTCCATCTCACACGATATATACCAAAATTAGCACAAACCGCTGCCGCCCTAGGCCCACTGCTAAGAAACACAGAAAAAAACCACTTGACTGGTCACCAGAGCATAACACAACTTTCAAAAACATATTAAAATTGGTAGCTGAAATAACACAAAACAAACATTTTGACCAAAATCATGAAACTCGCATTGTATGCGATACCTCTACTACGGGATTACGGGCTGCACTGGAACAACATTAACCAGAACACTGGGTTGCCATAGTTTATGCCTCACGTTTTTTAAACTCAATAGAGGAAAAATATTCCGTAAACGACCTAGAATTATTAGGGGTCGTGTGGGCAATCGAACATTTTAAATATTATCTTTATGGAAAACATTTTACAGTCATCACAGATCACCAAGCTTCAATCAGCGCGTTAAACGCAAGCGAACTATCAAAAACATGTCAAAGCCGGCTCACGCGTTGGATCGGCCGATTGATACCATTTCTTTTTGACATCAAACATCTTGCAGGGAATAAAATGGGATAAATAGACTATATGTCCCGAAATCCAGTTGGATTGGCAATACCCCCTAGTGAGTACGATTAGGAATTGATGTAGCATCAATTAGGACATTCATTATTAACCTCGAGATGATTGACAACGTCATTCGAAATAATCTAGCCAATCAAAACAAAGCACCGTATGAGCTGATCAAAAAACGCGCGGAAAACAAAGGGTTATTGAATGCTGCTTCAAACATTCAATTAACAACTAAACATTCCACACATTCCGCAATGAGTCATTTTCAAACTAGCAACAGAAGTCAGTTCCACTCAAAACCTGCTAAAAACAGTCAACTCTCTCTCAATTGAAAATTCAATAATACCAGACGGACTCATACCAGACAAGCTGCAAAAATTCCGTCCACATAATTTCAATAAATCAAATTCAAAAATCGAAATTGAGCCGCAAAACAGAAACAAAAGGGTTTAAAGGAGGATTTATCCCGCCGGAACTCAAAACAAATGAGTCGCGGGGCCAAAAAGAGTCAACACAGAATTGGCAGGGTTCATCGGACCGCGAAGAGAGCCTTTCGGACCCAAGATGACATAAGCGACCCCACACCAAAGGAAAAAAGGGAAAGGACGATCTAACAAAATCACCAAAAAAAAAGGTTCATATCACATCAACAACAACACCCGTACGGGATGCCAGAGAAGTACTAGCGGCTAAAAAGAAAACAGAGATCACTATTCCGAAATCGACTTTTCCGAAAATCATCCTCACGGACACTATCACATCTGCAAAAACCACTGCCAAACCCACACAAAACGAAATCACAAAGACGACACAAACCGCACAAACCGAACAACAAAGTACAACAACAGCTACACAAACCACGTCAGATAGAAGCGAAGTTACCGCAGAAATCTGTGGTAGCCGCGTGGATCCAATTATCTGCATACAAAAAGAACAGACACAAAATGTAGAACCACCAACAATGGGAACATATACACAATCAGAAGCCAGACATGAGACGATAACAGGAGGACTGGTCGCGACGTTGGAGAAAGCCACAAACACAGTGGAATGAGAGGAAGACACACCATTGTTCAGGCAAAGGTTACAGTGGGTTCTGGGCGCACGATTTATTGCAGCAGCCACCAAGATTGACCAATATCTGCGTCCACTGATCAACTTCGTCAAGAAGAAGGGATTGGGAAGCCATCAAAGCTTCCTACGGACAATACTGGCACAACATACGAAACAGGCTACATGTCCGGGAGGATTGTTTACTCATAGAAGAAAGAATCGTCATACCTACACAACTCAGACAGGCAGTGCTGGACAGCCTCCGTTTGACACATCCGGGATCGGCAGCCATGTTGGATTTGT